GCAAGTACTTTCAAATGGCTATTAAATCCCAGCCAGATGCTACTGTTTATATACAAATGTGCAAGGATGCTGGGTTTTTTTCATACAGTTGCACCAAACCATTTTAGTTTGTTTCATTTCTTGCCTCTGGAGGAGGAGAGGGGGGATTTGTGAGAGTGGCTTCATGTTATTTTGCTAGCCGGAGTTAAACCACGACACAAACCATTGTAGCAAAAATTTCACATAAATGTGTTAGAGCTCTCCACCATGCAAAACTAATGGAAGGTCTTCCAGTCTTGAGTACTTCATGCCCAAATGGTGACAGGCTCAAGTGTTACGTCCTTGTAAACGCTTATGCAAACAATTGTATAGGGCTTTTTTTTGTCCATACGTGATTAAGCATGGGACTGGTGTATTGAAAATACATTTCACATATCCCAGCAGTTCACCTTCTTGAGCCTTTCAGCTTTCTTGTTTGTGGGGTGCATGTTTGATTCTTGTGTTTCCAGAGAGATCTTCGAGTGTGCTCAACATTATGCATGTTTCTTGGTTCTTCAACTAGTGAGAAGTCCCATAGTTTTTGCTCAAGGAAACAACACAGTATCTGCACACTGCGTCATTTCTTTCTGTATACAGCTGAGATAATACACATTTTCCTATATCTTTTTGTTGTTAGGGTTATAGTCGGGATAAAGCAAAACGAAGCCACGATGACCATAGTTTGTCCAGAGTCTGAGTGTTGTTATCAGGACTTCACATGTTTCTTGATGAAGTCTTTACAATGTCTTTCTCAAAGTTCAGCTCTGCTAACACAAAAGTAAAAAAAAAAAAACTACTCCCCAAAATGCCAAAAAAAGTAAAGGTATATCAGGAATTAAAATGGCTATTATTACTAAATATAAGGATTAGGAAAAGTAACTAAGATTTGGTTTGAAATGAAGATGTCTGCATTTAGACACATCTATATAGTATCTAAATTCCAGAGGGCGGCCACGAAGATGCTCAGAGGGCTGGAGCACCTCTGCTACGGGGACAGGCTGAGAGAGTTGGGCTTGTTCAGCCTGGAGAAGAGAAGGCTCCGGGGAGACCTTATAGCACCTTCCAGTACCTGAAGGGGCTACAAGGAAGCTGGGGGGGACTTTTTACACGGGCCTGTAGTGACAGGACAAGGGGGAACGGGTTTAAATTGAAAGTGGGGAGGTTTAGATTGGATATCAGGAAGAAGTTCTTCCTGGAGAGGGTGGTGAGGCACTGGAACAGGTTGCCCAGAGAAGCTGTGGATGCCCCATCCCTGGAAGTGTTCAAGGCCAGGCTGGATGAGGCTTTGAGCAACCTGGTCTAGTGGAAGGTGTCCCTGCCCATGGCAGGGGGGTTGGAACTAGATGATCTTTAAGGTCCTTTCCAACCCAAACTTTTCTGTGATTCTAAACTCCTGTTACGACAATGAAGATGTAGTTAAGAGACATCAAAACAATCTAGTTTTCTCAGTGGTTGTTCTCTGGGGCATGATTGAGTTGCCTAAACCTGAATTTCTGATGTCCCTTGAGATGCTGCAGGCTATCCAAGATAGCTACGCAGGTCAGGTCAATGTGTCCACAGAGACATTCATTCCCTTCTGCCTGACCTGTACTTTCCAGTCCAAGGTACCTTATCCTGAAACAAATGACACTGGATATCTATGGGCTTGGTCAGTTGAATCACTCCTATGCTTCCATGACTGCATTAAATACATTAAGTGTAAGAGGATCTTAGTCACCTATCACACTAAGTTTAAATTTCATACTATAGCCTGCCTGTAGTCTGAAGGCTCCAGGTCTTTAGACAACTAAAAGCTAAAAACTGTTGAATAAAAGTAGGGAAACTTCCTGAGCGCTGCTTCTAGAGCACAATAAATTGGCATGTGCATTCTTGAGCTGCAGTACATCCATCTAGCAGCGGGAGAGGTACGAACTCATGCTGTGTGTAACTGGATGATGCTCTCAAGATAATGAAAGTTGAATAGGAAATGCAATGGGAGGAAATAAAGGTATTAAAAGTTGAAAGGCATGCGGTGATTTAGGTGTAATGACTTCATACCTAGCTAAGAAATAGACAAAGAACAGCTACAGATAGAAGAAAAAATAAAATCTCATTCAACACAACTCTCAACTTCCTGTGCAATAATTTGCTGAGACTTTAACAAGAAAATACTGTATTATCAGCATTAAATTCTAGTCTTGGATGCCTAAATACTCCTTCCATTGAAGTTGTTACAGCAAATGGATGCTCTTCTGAACAATGAAATGCCTAGCATCAAAATTGTGTAATGAGCCTCAGCTCTGATTCAGCTCAGTTCTTTTCTTACTGCAGTACTGAAGGATTTGAAAACCTTTTAGACTCCTGTTTCAGTACCCAGTGGCTGATAAATTTTCCATTGTTCTTGCATTCATTTTAGTTAATATTAGGACTTTGACCTACATGAACCAGTTGCAGTCTTTCTCAGCATCTGTGTTGACATGAATATCTGGGCTTATACAATGACGAGTAAGCTTTCAATAGTGACAAGAGGTCTCATGCTAAATACTGATTTCAGTGCTTCAGGGAGCACTGTTCTTGCTGATCTCACAAGATCTGCACATGAGCCCTGGAGGATGCTGGTAAGATTCATTGAGACTGTAATCCTCTATATTTATTGTTTGCTCCTTGAGTCCAGTGGCAGTAAGGTGGATTTTTCTGCAGTCACAGTGCTTTGTGGCACAATGCTGGTATTAAAACTGTAATCCATGCTAGATTTGCTAACTACAGAAAAAATCCAGGTGTACCTAGGACATTGGGTGCCTCTCTGCCTGGGACAGAGGATGCTCATCACTGTGCGCCTGGCTGTTTAATTTTGTCCCAACTGCCTGTTTTGGTCACGTCTCAGGATCAAACTCTGTGTAGGTAAAAGGATCAGAAATTTCACCAGATGCAAGGGCACTTGGAATTGTCAGGCATCTATGAATTTTGGCTGCTTAGAAGGGATGTGTAGAGTGAAACCTTGGGAGGGCATGTAATTCTGTGTGAAGCTGTGGTAGGAAAAATGTAAGTGCCAGACACCAGCTGCTACTTCTGGTTTTAATGGTTGTATGAGATTTAACAGAGATAAATACCAAGACCTGCACTTGGGCCAGAGCTATCCAAAGCTGCAGTTAGTTGTAAAGATACAAGTCCTTCTGCTTCTGCACCAAGTTTTGAGACATACAGATAAAAAAATCCCATTTCTGTAATTTATATGAGTATATATTTGGGAAAAAAGGGAGTTTTATAAATTAAGAAAGTAATTAAATTATCTCTTTCTTCTTTTCGTATTCTGACCACAGGAAACGTAGTGCCATGCATTTATGCTCCTCATTTTTGAAAGCCCACTGGCATCCATTTTTAAGATGCCTACTAAAATTTTCGTGATAGATAACTAACTAAATTTAAGTCTTTCTGCTTATTTCTTAGCATTAGTGGGCTATAAAGAAATGTTTTCCTGGTTTATTCTCTCATTTGTTCACTGGCAGGCTTATAAGTGGATTAATATACGCAGCCAGAGTTGCTTGCTCCAATTTTGCTTTGTTCAAAGTCCATTTTTTTGTTCACACTCATTGTGTTCAGCAAGTGGGAGCTAAATGGGGAAAAAATGTATCTTTCTCAGTGTTTTTTTTTGTTTTGGTGGGGTTTTTTGTTTGTTGTTTTGTTTTGTTTTTTCCCCTGCATATTTTTTTGTGCTTTCCATTCCTCTGTTGGGAATTAAGACAGATCTGGAAATCTGACTGCTCCTCATGGGGTGAGCGGGAATAAACAGCTGCTGTTGCTCCTGTTACTTATCTTGCTAGAGCCACCATACATTGAGCAGTGTGGTGCCTCACAGCTCTCTGAAATAAAAAGTGCTAAGGCATACTTCACTCCCTAAATACTTCCTCTTGTATCCATTTATTGTGGATTTTTTATCTTCTTTGCAAAGCAAGGATATGCTACGCTATCCCTTTCTGATCTGTTTTTTCCAAGGTCCCTTTCTTAGATGAGACAGTATGTTTCTCATCTGCCTTTCCTATTTCCCCATAACGATTGCAGCTACACATCTTCTGGAATTGTGAAAGGTGTGAAGCTATTGAGAAAGCCAGTGTCAAGTGGAGATCTGAAGGACACACCTAAGCTCTCCCTTTGTTGAATGGATATGTAGGAGTAATTTTTAAAAGGATTTATAGGCCTTATTTCGGTATCTGTGTGTATTTTCACTTTCTGTTGGCAGACACTGAGAATGTGTCCCTGTCTCTACCTTGTACAGTAGGGACACTGTAGGGTTGTCTGGAGAGGAATTATCAGCTATTTTCATTTGTATTTGTACACTGAAAGTTTGTTAAATAGCTTTGATAAAGGCATGTTGTCAATGTTTTTACCAATAAAACTTAGCTAAAAGAAGAAATTATGTGGAAGAGATTTGATGTGTCTGTTTTGCAGAATTACTTGACCTTTTTTTTTAACATATATATCTTTGTGTATGTGTGTTAGTGTTGACATATACCTAAGTAAGTTAGCAGTATTTTTTAATTTTTAGCATTTTCATGAAATACTTGGAATCCAACCTGGAGAAGCACGTTTATTTCTAAATGGCCTTCATATTGACCTGGATTTTCATGATCCTTTTAGGTAAGATGGTACACTTCATTTGACAATTAGAGAATTACTAATAACACAGGAGATTATCTATCTATCACCAGGAGAATATAATCTCATCTGTTGCATTTTGGGGGCCAGGAAGTACTCCAGTAGAGGGCATACTGGTTTGCAGCGGTTTTGCTTTGAATGTGAACATTGTATAAGTAGTTGAAAACAGCATTATCTCTTGAAATATGTTTTCTAATTTGCTTTCAATTTTATGACACACCATGTAAATTTAATTTGGAAAGGAAAGAAATCCAGCATGTATGTATAAAAGGGTGGGAAAAGCACTTTATAAAAAGTAAGTTAAATGATGTCGCATCCCTATCTCTTCAAAATTACCAAGAAATTGCAGGCATTACATTTAGAAACACACCACTGGGTTATTTTTGGCATGCTTGTGATTCTGTGTCTGGCCACCCTTTATAATAAGATCTGTTAGTGCAGAACTAATACACTTTTTGGTATAAGAAATCTTTTTCCAGTTTGTATAATTATACTATAATATTTTGGGTATGACTCACCTCTTTCATACAAGCATTTATAAACTGTGAACATTTTCCCTTGCATTCTTCTGTATGTTGTCAACAGGAGGACAGATGTGGCTATGTCGAAATTGCCTTTGGTGGCCTGCAAACTATCAATAAATCTGCTGATGCTAAGGCTGAGGTTTTTTTCATGTTCCTATGAATTGTTAGAGTCTAAAACTTTTTATTTTCTATTTTTTAATTCATAATGTCTTTTTTTTCTCCTCTGTGCAGATTCTTAAACGTTCTTCATTTTAGCAGTTATATTTGACAATTTTTACTTAATTTTTTTCTCAGCCAGAGTTTTGAGATGAAGTCACTTGCATAGTTTTTGGCAATTATACAAAAATTAATAGTACTTTTTAATGCTAGTGCTAGGTTTCATTTCAATATATTCTAGAAGAAACCTTTCAGAATAGAGGAAACTCAAAATTAAGCAAGACAGAAATAAAGGCATTTATAAAATCTTGCCCTTTCTGTTCTGCTGGTGAGTACTTCAGGTTTGTTTCCATTCTCATACCAAATTTTCAGATTGCAACAAATGTTCCCGAGTCCTGTTGGAGTCTTCTTTTGGAGGTGTAGCTGTGTGTTTCTGCTGTGTTGTTTTCAGGGTTCTGCCGTGACACAGACTTAGAGATTGTCTGTGTCCCCATCACTTGCTGCCGGCTTCTCTACACACTTGCAAAGCTTCCTCTTAGGGTACTCCCCTCTTGTATTTCCGCCTCAGTCAGGACAATGCAGTAAGCAACCTTCCGCGCTGCTGTCCTGCCACGTCCTACTGAAAATGGATGAAATTCCTTCATATAAAATAAATGTGACTGAACAAGAGAGTTGTATAATCTGTTATAATTTCCTTTTGAAATAACTTGGAGACGTATATTTACCATGTTGTTTAAAACAAAAACATTTGCTATTTGACTGCAGGAGAAGATTAAAATTATTTTTAATATTAAAAATAATCCTCCCACTAATAGTCTTTGAAATATTTCTTCTTTTTGTGTCATGGCAAGAGTTCTGTGTAGACATTATGCGTTTTGTCTTCCTGAAAAAGTATCTTAGAAACTCTTAAACTGGAAGGAAAAGTGATGCATGGCCTTCATGAACTTGGAATCAAAGAGGAGGTACTGAGTAAATTGATGAGGTTGCATATACATCCTACAGATGACAATTATGCACTAGATATTCGTCACTCTTCGATAATAGTAAGTAATTAAACAGTTATTTATTTGGATATTACATATTTGATAATGCTATGTATGGGACAGTTGATCTTTTTTTGTAGTGTAATTGAAATACTGGGCATCAGACCATATATTGATAAGCAATCTAAAATACTTTTGGAGAGTGATATCCCTTCAATATTTCAATAAAGTAATTTCTTCTAGCCTATACTTTATTAAAACTTTAAGATGTAGGATGTTTAAAAAAGAAGTGGAATTTGTCTAAGAGTAGTTGCACACTCATAGCTATAGAATCTGACTTTACAGCAATTAATCTAGCTACATAGTATCTTTGCATTAGGTAAGACTGCTAAATGTACTTTACAAGTATGATGACCAGACAGCTTAAATATTTTGTTTCTAATTGTCCAATGACTGCCCTCTTGCCGCCTTCAAAATGTGTAGTTTTCATTACAAAGGGTATATGCCAGTGGAAAAGGCACTGAAATGAAAAATTTATTCACCTGAAAGAACCATATTTCACTCTTCTCTTTGCCAAGTATAGACAGGCTTGCACAGGCAACAGTAGAAGAACAAATCAAAATCAGTTATTTTGATATATCTGAAGTGATGCTGCGGGTTATAAATACTGTGTTTGTCTTACAAGATGGTTATGCTGTTACGCACATCTGTGTGATATGTTATGACCTTTGTATTGTGAAAGTAGCTTCCAAACTCTAGAAAATGGTTTTATTCACATCCTGACGCAGAGTATAAATGGTCTTTTTTCCTTCGTCCATCCATTTAGTTTTACTATTACTGCAAATAAAAACTCAGAACAGTTTGATTGAAAGAAAAAAAAAAAACAACTAATTTTAGAAGCTATTTGCTGTTACTATTTCAAAAATAAGATAAAAATTTTACTCTTTCCAGGACTACCATTTATTTTAAAATATCTCTATTTATACATACATGTTTTACTCAATGTTTAATGTGTGTTTTTTAAATGCTGCCTTTGTTTTAGTGGGTTAATAATGTAGAACAAGATCATAGCTATAGCATATGGCCTGCAAGCTATCAGGAACTGCTAAAACCTGCCTTTCCTGGAGTTATACAGCAGATCAGACGCAATTTATATAACTTGGTAAGTTTGGAGAACTACATTTTTGCATAGTGTATGTATTAATATGTGGTCAGATAATTTATTGACAAATACACATGCTGTATTCGTTGTTAAGATAGGTTAGAATTCCATGTTTTCTATGTGAGTCTGCTAATAGTAGTGAAAATACTTTTGTCTAGTGAGTCGTATGTGAGCATTATTCTGATTTCCAGAATTGGACTTGGGCACAGTTTTGTCAGGAGCTTTTCTGTTCCTGTCCATGAGGCATATAGATAATTCACTGCTGTCAATGAATTTTCTTCATAGTACACTGAGAGAAGGTAATGATAACTGTTCTTGGTTTAGAGATGGTTAACTGAGGTACAAAAGGGTATGTTATAAAGCATACTAATTATTAATGCCTATAGCCTATTTTTTATTTTGTACATAGTGTTCTGTATTACTTAGGTAGTTAAGGAAATGGCTCTTGCTGATTTAAATTACAAAAGGCAATTTTATGAATCACAGCATCACAGAATGGTCTGGGTGGAAGGGACAGGAACATCTTCGACTAGATGAGGTTGCCCAAAGCCCTGTCCAGTTTGACCTTGAACACTTCCAGTGGTGGGTCATCCACAACTTCTCTGGGTGACCTGTTCCCCTATGCCACCTGTGATGTCACACCACCCTCATTTCTTCATATCCAATCTAAATCTTCACTCTTTTAGTTTAAAACTATGTTACCCCTTGATTTATCAATACAGTGTCACTACTACTGATAAAAAGCCTCTCTCCATCTTTCTTATAAACCTTTCTTCAATATTGAAAGGCTCCAGTGAGGTCTCCCCAGAGCCTCCTCTCCTCGAGGCTAAACAACCCCAACTCTTTCAGATAATTTCTGTGGCCTTCCTCTGGACCTGCTCCAACAGGTCCGTGTCTTTTCCATTCTGAGGGTTCCACAGCTGGACACAGCACTCCAGGTGGGGTCTCACCAGAGCAGAGTACAGGGGCAGAATCCCCTCCCCCGACCTGCTGGCCACACTTCTCTGGATACAGCCCAGGATACAGTTGGCTTTCTGGGCTGCCAGCGCACACTGCCGGCTCATGTTCAGTTTTTCATCCAGCAGTACCCCCAAGTCCTTCTCAGAGCTGCTCTGAATCCCTTCATCCCCCAGCCTGTCTTGATACTGGCAGTTGCCCTGACTCAGGTGCAGGACCTTACATTTGATCTTGAACCTCATGAGGTTCACACAGGCTCACTTCTCGAGCTTGTCCAGGTCCCTCTGGATGGCATCCTGTCCCTCAGGCATGTCAACCATACCACACAGCTTGGTGTTGTCTGCAAACTTGCTGAGGGTGCACTCAATTCCACTGTCTGTGTTGCTGATGAAGACGTGAAACAGTACTGGTCCCAGAATAGACCCCTGTAGGACACCACTTGTCACCAGTCTCCATCTGGACATTACGCAGTTGACCACTACCCTCTGGATGTGGCCATCCAGCAAATTCCTTGTCCACCAAATGGTCCATCCATCAAACCCATATCTCTCCATTTTAGAGAGAAGGGTGTTTTGGGGGCTGTGTCAAATGCCTTACAGAAGTCCAAATAGATGACATCCGTATTCTTCCCTCCTCCCCTGATGTAGCCACGCCAAGGGACATGAAGTTCAGTATGTGAAAAGACAACCAAAATACAAGCAATGTGTAACAGAAAAAGGATGTTTATAATGAAACATAAGATGTGTGTAATACGAAGTCGATTGCATTATGTATTCAAAATTAAATATTGGCATAGATGTATATAAAGGGTACATTATAGAAATCTGCAATGTATCATTTTACTATAATCTGAGGCAGAGGGAGTGTTCAAAATTTTTGAAATTACTCTGCTGCATTTCAGCTACTCTAGCAATTACAGATTCTAAGGGGAGTTGCAGTACAAAGCTGAATAAATAAGGTATTGATGTCATAATTAAATCTACATAAGGATAATTTACCTATGCAGACAGATCCCAGTTTCAGATTCTGTGCATGCCTGAAAGATCTGATTTTACATTTCAAGCTACAGTAAGTGAAAGAGTGGATACAGAGCTATGCAAGACAGGAAGGAACAATTCATTCCCAATACTTAATTTTTTAATTGCAGTTTTAAGTCAATATATTCTGATTATTTACTTTAGTTTGGTTTTTACAACAGAATACAATTAGTTGAAGGAAGAAAAATCAGCATTAGATCCTTATGAATTTAAATATCAAGTTAATTAATAAAATACTGGTACAGAGCCTTTCAAAGAGTAGTAGTGATATCACTTCATTGGAAGTTCAATAAATGGTTAAATGCTGTTGTCAGTATTAGGTCCAAATTCATTAATTCTGAAGTTATTCTCATTTATACTCTTAATGTGTGCTTACAATGAATGCTCTAGGAAATTGAAAACAGTTGGGGTGCATTTCTGTTATTATCTTAGATTTTATGTCTGAAAAAAAAATTAGAGGAGACATCAAGAATTAATATTGGCTGTATAATGTGTTTTCACTTTTTAGGTACTATTTGTTGATCCTCTTCAAGAAGATACAGGTGATTATATGAAACTGGCAGAATTATTCTATCATCATGATGTACCGCTTAGGTAAGGAAAACTGTGAAAGTCTTGAAGAAAAGCCTGAAAAGAAGGTTGCTTTCCTTTTTTCTTCTTCATCTTCTATTCTGCTAGGCAAAGATGGGAATTCCAATGAAGTCCAGTGCAGCAACATTCTAATAAGACACGTTCGTTACACACTTGTGTTAAGCTTACTTGGGTATTAAGTATTCTTAAGCAAATATTTTGCAAGGGATAACATACCTGAGTGTGTGGAAAATGAACTGCAAATGGCTGATAAAAAATGACCTTGTCAAATAGTCCCACTGGATACCCTTGTGAAGTTACGTTCTAAGCAAAATATTCTGTAAGTAAAACATGATTTGAGGGCGTTTTTTAATTTAATCCTTTCAATTGAGGTTGCATTACCAAATATTGTTATGACACAAATACTTCAAGACCAAACTGAGATTTTCCTCACCAAGTTGTGAATTTCTAAAAATCAGTTTTCTGAGTCTGAACAACTTTCTGAGTTGTCATTTGAGAGAAAGAGACACTTATGAGGAACAATCTCTTGATCTGAGAATTCTTACTTTAAGAAAAAATGAATTGTGCTCAGAAGTGCCTGTTTATTTCCACAGTTTATAAAAGAAGATAAGCATGTCCAAATCAGATCCAAGGTTCAGCAAGATGAATTAATAAATATTTAAAATCTTCCTGTGAAATGGCTTTTTGTTTCTGCAATAAATTAGAGGGTTTTAATTTTCCTTTAAAATTTTACTAGTTCTGATCATTGTTTTTTGGTTTTCTTTGGGTTTTATCATTGAATTTAAAAAAAAAAAAAGAGTAATGAAGGACAGAGATATCTGTTGCTGTTTTGTCACTACCTGGGAGACAATGCTGCTTCAGTCCTTGAGGATTATATAGCCTAGAACCTAATTTGCCTTTTCTAATACATAACAGCAGCAAAACTAGATCAGACTAAAGGTCTGTTTAGGTCAGTCTCTCTGCAGCAAGCCACGAGGAGATGCCTAGGTATGATAAAAAGAACAGGACAGCCAGCTACCTTGCCTGAGTATTTTCCTGGTCTTCATGCATTTGGAGATGAAAGAATTGCAAACCCTGATGTAGTTTCTAAATATTTAGCAACCCTCAATAGGTTTCTCTTCCATAAACTTTTCTGTTTTCCCCTTGAATTCATGAAAGTTTTAGCTCCCACAGTATTCTTCTCCAGGTGTTCTCACAGTTGAACTACACGGTGTATGTAAGAAGACTTTCAATAGCTTCATTTACATTCTCTGTAGCTCTTACAGTTGGGAGAGAGACTAAGCAGTCTCTCCTGCTCTCTAGATGCCAGTCATGATTTTATAAAGCTCTGCCACATTCAACCAGAGTCA